TTGAATTGCGTATGTAGTTAATGACTGGAGATATATGGGATGGTGTAGGCATATACATTCTTGTATGTAGATTTTTTATTGTTGCATTTTGTATTGTGTTGTGCTTCGAGCAGTAATTAGGGATAAAGCGTGTTTTTGAAATGAACTTTTTATTATTATTATTACTAAAATATGCTGGGGGCAGAACTAGAAATCTTTGGAATGGAAGTCTATAATTACAAGGAACGCCAGAACATGATTAAGTCATCATGACAAAAAAGTGACAACTAGAACTTGGTCGGGGCCTCCTTAATAAGACAGTGCCAACATAACTACTAAGGGGCGACATAACTAATGAGGGCCACAATTACCTACAAGGTCCACAATTACTTATAAAGGCCTACATTAAATATAAGGTCAACCATTTCTTACAAGGGCCACCATTGCATAAAAGTACAACCATTGCATGATCAATGCAACCATTACATGTCAAGTATGTTTAAGTTGTATGACTGAGCAAGGTGTCAGTTTGTTGCATGTCTAAGTTGTATGACTGAGCAACTTGCCAGTTTGTTGTATGTCTAGTTGTATGACTTAGTGACTTCTCAGTTTGTTGTATGTCTGGTTGTATGACGCAGTGACTTCTCAGTTTGTTTTATGGCTAGTTGTATGACTGAGTGACTTCTCAGTTTGGTTATGTCTAAGTTGGATGACTGAATGAATTATCAGTTTGTTGTATGTCTAGTTGTATGATTGAGTGACTTCGCAGTGTGTTTTATGTCTAGTTGTATGACTGAGCGACTTGTCAGATTGGTGTATGTCTAGTTGTATGACTGAGTGATTTCTCAGTTTGTTGTATGTCTAAGTTGTATGACTGAGCAACTTGTCAGTTTGTTGTATGTCTAGTTGTATGACTGAGTGACTTGTCAGTTTGGTGTATGTCTAGTTGTATGACTGAGTGATTTCTCAGTTTGTTGTATGTCTAAGTTGTATGACTGAGTGACTTTTCAGTTTGTTGTATGTCTAGTTGTATGACTGAGCGACTTGTCAGTTTGTTGTATGTCTAGTTGTATGACTGAGTGATTTCTCAGTTGGATGTATGTCTAAGTTGGATGATTAAGCAACTTGTCAGTTTGTTGTATGTCTAAGTTGTATGACTGAGCAACTTGTCAGTTTATTGTATGTCTAAGTTGTATGACTGAGCAACTTGTCAGTTTGTTGTATGTCTAAGTTGCAAGATGGAGTGACTTCTCAGTTTGTTGTATGTCTAAGTTGTATGACTGAGTGTCTTCTAAGTTTGGTGTATGTCTAAGTTGGATAACTGAGCAACTTGTCAGTTTGTTGTATGTCTAAGTTGTATGACTGAGTTATTTCTCAGTTTGTTTTTTGCTAAGTTGTATGACTGAGTGACTTCTCAGTTTGTTGTATGTCTAAGTTGGATGACTGAGCAACTTGTTAATTTGTTTTATGTCTAAGTTGTATGACTGAGTTACTTCTCAGTTTGTTGTATGTCTAAGTTGGATGACTGAGTGACTTCTCGGTTTGTTGTATGTCTAAGTTGTATGACTGAGTTACTTCTCAGTTTGTTGTATGTCTAAGTTGTACGACTTAGTGACTTGTCAGTTTGTTGTATGTCTAAGTTGTATGACTGAGCAACTTGTCAGTTTGTTGTATGTCTAAATTGTATGACTGAGTGACTTCTCAGTTTGTTGTGAGGTAGCACTTCCTAGCATTGAACTTAAGCAGACGTGAGCAAGGCTCTTGACGGCACAAATCTTGAGTTACTAAACGTGGCACCCTAAGCCTGATGTCATCCACTGGGAGAGAACTCGTGAACAAAGAAACGCAAGGTTGCCCTCATTCCGGCACTGACTTTAACATACATTCTCGCCCTTTGCTAGAGTTCTCCCCCCTGCTGACAGAAATAAGAAAACTCTTTCCCCCCCCCCCCCTTCTGGCCTGGCCTGCCCCCTTCCTTCCTCAGGTCCATTTGCCACAATATTGTGATGATTTTGTTTACAGCTTAGCAGAATCATGGGATGACCTCCTGCGTACAATTTAGCAAGAACATGTACACAATTACAAGCGATTAATATGAACGCGTTCATTGTCAGATCTACCAGAAAAAACAAAGACAAAGAAATGACAACTTCAATTTAACGTCTACAGATGTGACCCTCCAGTTAACACCATGTCATTTTTTTCTTCTTTTAAACAAATTATTTATGATAAGGGGATAACTCTATTTTATATTCATGGGTTTAAATGTTGATTTTTATTTTTATTTTTTTTATATTGGAGGGAAAGAGAATTTGATTAGGTATCAATGTTTTTATTTTGTAACAGTTCCAATTCTCAAATGTTGTCTTTGTAATTTTACGTAAAATTTCTCACCATTTTTATTTATGTACCCAAAATATATTAGAATGACATGTCCATATTTCAGCATTTTACTGATAATTTTAAACAATTTGGTCTTTATTAAGATGCTTGCAACCACTCAGACCTCTCTAAACACAATGTCACATACACATGTATAAATAGAGCGTTCACTAGTCATATTACATAACACGTCACGCACGCCATCTTACAGTACTTACGTTATGTGGGAGAACTCTTCCGTACTACCTCCTACGAAATGCTCACATTCTACAAGACGTCATGACAATGGCTGTGATTAGCTACTTTAAAATATATCGATTCTTGCTACTAATTAACTTGGTCAAGTCATACCGCACGAAAAAAAAAGTTACTTAAAGATGTTTTCTCTATTTTGATTCGTTGTTTAGAGCCAGCAGAAACGCGACCCTGTTCCCCGCCTTGTGTTCACTGAATGCAGGGTTCCAGCAGAGCTCACCCCTCTCTCTCTCTCTCTCTCTCTCATCGTCGTCTTACGCTAGTCTAGCAGCGGGCGCAGGGATAGTGGTAGACCAAGAGAAGATTTCTCAAAAGCAAAAAAAAAAAAAAAAAAACTCCCCCCACTGGTAACCGTGCCTCCACTTTCTGGCACTGTCTGCAACACCGCTGAGGAATGAGCGGGTCCTTAGGGGGGCCAGCAGACGACTGCAGGAGTTGTGGGACTTTACGTTTATGTGTTTTCCACGAGGAGGGAAGATGGAGTTAATTTAGACTGGGCTGATGACTTTTCTGCACTCTAAAATTAACGACCCTTGGACACGCGATTGATTGAAAGGCCGTGATAACGGATGAATAATGCAATGAAGAGAAGATCATTTGCACAGACTAGAAGTGCAATGATAACGGATGAATAATGCTATGAAGAGAAGATCATTGGCACAGACTAGAAGTGCAATGATAACGGATGAATAATGCAATGAAGAGAATATCAATGGCACAGACTAGAAGTGTTAAAATCAGGTGTCCAGTCGATGTTTGACACCAAACTTCTAATAAAAGAAAAAAATCCCCTGTGTAACATTCTGATCTATAGCATAACAAGAAAACTAGACAGTAAACATGGTGAGTCAACAGTACACAGTAAACAGTAGAGATTCAACAGTAGACAGTAGAGATTCAACAGTATACAGTAAACAGTTGAGAGTCAACAATAGAAGTAAACAGTATACAGTAATCAGTAGAGAGTCAACAGTAGACAGTAATCCGTATACAGTAAACTGTAGATATTAAATAGTAGACAGTCAACTGTAGAGAGTCAACTGTAGAGAGTCAACTGTAGAGAGCCACCTGTAGACAGTACACAGTAGAGTCAACTGTAGGCGAGGATTGGTCAGTTGAAATGCAATTAAACGTTAATAAGTAGATTCAAGTTGACTGCATATTTTCCTGGTTCAATGCTTGGCTTTTCAGTCTGTATCCTTGGCTGATCAGTTCCGGTAATTGTTAGTTATTAGAGTTATCATTTCGACGTTGCCAAGTACAAAGTAATTGAGTTGATTTGAATCAATGAATCTTACAAAGAATTACCGATAAAGGCGAATACAGTTAAAAACCCGTCTTTTAAAAGAGACAAAACTGCCTCAGTAGAAGAATTGTTGCGTGTACCGGTACAATGTGTTCAAAGTAAAATATTAATCTAAATGTAGACCCTAAGCATATGGGGGCCCAGTTGACCTATCTTGTAAGTGTCTGTATGTATGGGGCCCAATTGACCTATCTTGTAAGTGTATGTATGTATGGGGCCCAGTTGACCTAACTTGTAAGTGTCTGTATGTATGGGGCCCAGTTGACCTATCTTGTAAGTGTCTGTATGTATGGGGCCCAATTGACCTATCTTGTAAGTGTCTGTATGTATGGGGCCCAGTTGACCTAACTTGTAAGTGTCTGTATGTATGGGGCCCAGTTGACCTATCTTGTAAGTGTCTGTATGTATGGGGCCAAGTTGACCTATCTTGTAAGTGTCTGTATGTATGGGGCCCAGTTGACCTATCTTGTAAGTGTCTGTATGTATAAGGGCCAAATTGATCCATCTCTTGAGTGTCTGTATGTATGGGGCCCAGTTGACCATCTTGTGAGGACCTGCGTGTGTGGGAGCCCAATTGACCTATGTTGTGAGTGGCTACGTGTGTGGGGCGCATTTTACCCATCTTGTGAGCGAGTACGTGTTTGGGGCCCACATGACCCATATTGTGAGTGCCTACGTGTGTGGGGGCGCAGTTGACTCATCTTGTAACAGCTTAGTGTGTCGAGCCCATTTGACCTATCTTGTGAATGCCTACCTGTGTGGGGCCTATTCAACCCTTCTTGTGAGTGAGTACTCGTGAGTGCTTACATGTGTGGGGTCGAGGTGACCCAACTTTTTATTGTCAAAGTATTTTTATATTTTATTATTTCAATTGTATATTTTATACATACAATATTGAACAATTTGATTTAAAAAGTACACATCTCACAAGCTTACAAAATATCCAGACACAAATTTCCTTTATATTTAACCAATAAAAATCATATAATATACATCTTGAGTTTATTTATACAAGAAACATCAACAATTAAAATAACCATCAAATAAATCATTAATGACTAAATAATCATTCGAATCGGCCCATTAGAAAAAAAAGTATTCCGGTAAAAGTGTACTCTTTAAACTACTTTTAGCTAGGGTTGTTAACCTTTGAACCCCCTTCCCCTTTTTCCCCACCCCATCTGCTTAAACCACAGAGAACACTTTATTCAAGTTAATCTTGAAAGTACTAGACTAAACTGTTGCCATTCGATGAGCCCCAGATGCATGCATCCTACGAATGAATGTTTAGACATGGGGTTCGTTTTCTTTGGACGGTAGTACTCCATAAAGACATTAAACAATCCGTCACTGCCTACGGCTACCCAAATATTTTCTTAATCGATTTTTTTTAAAACATTGGCTTTCACCCATTAGTGGTTACCGACCCTGCGTTAGATCCCTGCCCTTGACCTTCAGTTGATGTCAAGCATCACGTTTTGCTGACGTATAGGTGCGATCAAAATAAACTATTTCACTCCATTTAACAATTTTTTATCATCTTATATCAACATCTCAACAAGGATATGACATCTCAACAAGGACATGACATCTCAACAAGGACATGACATCAACGTGAGTTCCTTGCGTGAATGTTGCTAACTGTCGGATAAGATGACATATTATCCAAAATGATCAGTTTTAAGACTGGGACCAACAATACTTGATGTCAATGATTGTTCTCTCACTCAATGGATAGATACGTTCATTGAAAGATCAAGTTAATTTTCAATCAAATGGAAAATGTCAACAGCCCTGCTCACAAGTGATCTAAGGGTCCATGAGTTGCGCAGCCAGCTCTGCTCACAAGTGATCTAATGGCCCATCATGAGTTGCGCAGCCAGCCCTGCTCACAAGTGATCTAATAGCCCATGAGTTGCGCTGCCAGCCCTGCTCACAAGTGATCTAATGGCCCATCATGAGTTGCGCTGCCAGCCCTGCTCACAAGTGATCTAATGGCCCATGAGTTGCGCTGCCAGCCCTGCTCACAAGTGATCTAATGGCCCATGAGTTGTGACAATACAAAAGTGACAGCTCTATTTCCACAATTATTTTATATTTGATGCACGCAACATACAAAATTTGATAATCTCAAGTTAACATAAAATGTGATATTTTCAAGTCAACATACAAAATGTGACAATCTCAAGTCAACATACAAAATGTGACAATCTCAGGTGAACATACAAAATGTGACAATCTCAGGTTAACATCCAAAATGTGACATTTTGAATTTTCAAGTGAACATACAAAATTTGACAATATCGAGTGAACATACAAAATGTGACAATCTCGAGTGAACATACAAAATGTGACAATCTCAAGTGTACAAAAAAATTGTTATTAAAATGGAATAACTTGGTGATGTTTAAATGGTAGGATTTTGGGTAAGGTATAATTGTTGTACGTGTTGGCTACAGTGGTGGTGTTCAACTACTTTCACTTACATAAAGTTCATAAACTTGATGAATAGACTTTATTTCATGACCTCCTATTTATTCTCATCACACAGGTAATCATCACACAGGTAATCATGACACAGGTAATCATCACACAGGTAATCATGACACAGGTAAACACAAAAAATATAATTAAAAAGATAGAGAGCGAGAAGGAAACAGCATAAAAGAAAACATTTACAGATGCTTATGTTTAATTAATTACAACAACTTGTGTGAGCCATATCAACACTGTGTGAGCCATATCAACACTGTTAATTTTATCTGTATATAATATCTATATGAGAGTTTGGACAACTAGGGATACTTTGTCCGAGGTTTTAAGGGAAGAAAACTTAAAATTGTTTACAATGCCTGAAATTTTGCCATACAAAGATTATGGATCACGGATTCTGTAATGGTCTACAGTTCCCCACAATCCTATGCAATATGATGAAGATTTCTGTCACACATATACAAGGCATTCATTGGAATAAATTGTGCTGGTCTCCATCTTGTGGAACAGAAGGTATCAGGACAGGGTATATTTCAATTGTAGAGTAAATTGTTTTAGCTGTAGTGTACATTTCAGCTGTAGTGTACATTTCAGCTGTAGTGTACATTTCAGCTGTAGTGTACATTGCTGCTGTAGTGTACATTTCAGCTGTAGTGTACATTTCAGCTGTAGTGTACATTTCAAAAGGTAAACAAAAACATGAAATTACATTGAAACAAAAGTACACATTAAAAGTGATGTTTATCTCCAACTATCCGTGGATACATCTCAGACATGATAACACCAACTATCCGTGGATACATCTCAGACATGATAACACCAACAGAGCAGATGTTTATCTCCAACTATCTGTGGATACATCTCAGACATGATAACACCAGCAGAGCAGATGTTTATCTCCAACTATCTGTGGATACATCTCAGACATGATAACACCAGCAGAGCAGATGTTTATCTCCAACTATCTGTGGATACATCTCAGACATGATAACACAAACAGAGCAGATGTTTATCTCCAACTATCTGTGGGTACATCTCAGACATGATAACACAAACAGAGCAGATGTTTATCTCCAACTATCTGTGGGTACATCTCAGACATGATAACACCAACAGAGCAGATGTTTATCTCCAACTATCTGTGGGTACATCTCAGACATGATAACACGAACAGAGCAGATGTTTATCCCCAACATCATAACTCAACACAAAACAGTTTTATTCTGTACAGTTACCTAAACTTTTATTTACAAAGACTTTATCAGCATGAAAGCATACATCAACGGTCCTTAAGATCAGCTGTTTCCAATTTAAGGGTCCACCCCAAAAGTAAGGGGTCGTCTCATACTGGTTTACAGGGAGTGCAAAAACTATGAATGTGATTTTTACATTAATAGGATATATGTGCCTAACAATTATTTAATGACTTCACCTAAATCTAAATTGAAAAACGTAAAGTTTGGACTTCTTAATCAGACCACCGACCGAGCCCACTGATCCAGACCACCGACCGAGCCCACTGATCCACACCACAGACCCCGATCATGTGACATGAATAAATGGTATTTGATCTCTTGGGGTTACAATAGAAACACAAACAAAAATAGTTGAAATAAAAGCATTAGTTGCCACCCCACACCCTCCCAACGTCATCCAATCAGTAATCATTTATCAACATGTGGAATGAGGACAGCTCCATCGTCTCTGCCAATCGCCAGGAGACTTTCTCTCAGTTTGGTCAAGTCGCCATCAACCGTCTGAGGATTCAGATAAGAAATGTATGAGGTTAGACAGAATCGACGCATAGCCAAATACATTAATGGTCTCAATTTGACTGAGTTTGGCAAGATGTATCCTCCTATATCAACAGGATGTGTTTTGTTTGATGAAAAAGATTATTTTAGATTACTACGCCTGATATAATCTTAGTCTTAGAATAGTTTGGTGCACTGAACAACTTGCACAGAAATCACTGTAACAATCTGAATGGCTATGATGATAATGTAACAATCTGATTGGCTGTAATGATAATGTAACAATCTGATTGGCTGTGATGATAATGTAAAAATCTGATTGGCTGTGATGATAATGTAACAATCTGATTGGCTGTGATGATAATGTAACAATCTGATTGGCTGTGATGATAATGTAACAATCTGATTGGCTGTGATGATAATGTAACAATCTGATTGGTAGTGATGATAATGTAACAATCTGATGGGCTGTGATGATAATGTAACAATCTGATTGGTTGTGATGATAATGTAACAATCTGATTGGCTGTGATGATAATGTAACAATCTGATTGGTTGTGATGATAATGTAACAATCTGATTGGTTGTGATGATAATGTAACAATCTGATTGGCTGTGATGATAATGTAACAATCTGATTGGCAGTGATGATAATGTAACAATCTGATTGGCTGTGATGATAATCTAACAATCTGATTGGCTGTGATGATAATGTAACAATCTGATTGGTTGTGATGATAATGTAACAATCTGATTGGCTGTGATGATAATGTAACAATCTGATTGGCTGTGAGGATAATCTAACAATCTGATTGGTTGTGATGATAATGTAACAATCTGATTGGCTGTGACGATAACGTAACAATATGATTGCTTTCAGCGACAGTTGCTGGTACAGGTTCAAGCAATATGATATTGATACAGTATTGCTAGAAGATCTATGATCCAACAGCGACAGTTGCTGGTACAGGTTCAAGCAATGTGATATTGATACAGTATTTCTAAATGATCTATGATCCAAGTATCCACATATTATCCGTCTTCAATTTTTTATATATATTATATCCTATCCTATATATTTTATCCTTTCCTATATATTATATCCTATCCTATATATTACCTATCCTATATATTATATCCTATCCTATATATTATATCCTATATATTATATCCTATCATAAATATTATATCATATCCTATATATTATATCCTATATATTATATCCTATCATATATATTATATCCTATCCTATATATTATATCCTATACCTCAAAATATTCCATCAGGAAAGTTGTCGGGCTGCCCTTGCTGACTCTCATCTCCACCAAGGTCTTGGTTAAGTTGGAGAGTCCCAGCTGCTGAGCTAGAGCCACAACATCTCTGTCCACAAGCTCCGGGTCTAACAGCTGAGAGAGGTTCATACGTATTTTCTGACTCATGTTTACCATACCTGGAATGTGGAAGAAAACATTGATCATAACAAGGGACACAACCACTAGGAGACAAACAAATAAACCATGAATGCGTTGTGGTTTTTTTAGAACCCATAAGCTTTTGTTGAAGGGCACAAGAGCGAGTACATCAGTGTTGTTGGCCCTTTACATGTGAAGATGACCAAGGCTGTAATCCATGGTGAGTGGCCAGGTGGCTTGCCAGTCCTATTTGTGCCTGGAAACATTGCTCTTCTGTGGGGTCCTGGAGGCAATGAGAGGCCGACAGAATTTTGGCTTCAGTGCAGAAAGTTGCCAATTGATCCCTTACGGCCTAGTTTCGGTTTCAAGCAAAACAGAAAAGTCAACCTTCAGGTTTATTTTCGGTTTAGGACGAAACAAAAAAATTATCTTTCAGTTTATTTTTGGTTTTAGCCAAAAGTGATTGATGCTCTTGGACGACTACCAGAAGTCAAACTGTCAGTCTGTCTGACAGCAGGCAATCTGATATTCATTCTTGCTCGATGTCTTGCTGTCATCATATGATATATGACTAAACTTCTGCGAACACTGCTCACAGCTGCATTATGACCAACTTGTCCAATATTTCCAAAAATAAAATTTCAAAAAGGCTTGGGCAAGGGTGGCAAAGTTTGTGGCAAAAAAAAATACGGGATTATTAATATTAAAATTATTATTTTTGTTTTCCTTTTTTCAAAAATAAAATTTGGGAACCTTAGGTTTATTCAATTCATTCATTAGTGCCATTCATTTTGATTTGGCACTATCATGCTTATAAATGATGTCATAGGCAAAGATGAATAATATGGTGGAAAAAAAATCCTATGGAACGGTAACATTTCTAGTTAATAAAAATCAGGGAACCTTAGGCAAATTCAATTCATTCATTGATTGAAATTCATCATTATCATGTTGATGAACATTTTTATTGATGAAATACAACATATGCGAGCGTGTATCACTGTTTCCTATAATAATTATGTAGTAGGCCTACTGCAGACCTGTTTATTCTTATCTAACCCTAACCCTTACCATAACCGGCATTTGAAATCTATTTTTAGAAGTCACTAAGCAGCTGTACAATTTTAATACCCCAGTTTTGTTCCACCACTTCTCTTCCCTTCTCCCAATACAGCTTGCTGTAGTTTTAGACCACACTATGTTAACGGAAAATAAAATCGGGCTCCCAGGCTTAATGCAGGGGTGGGTGACCCGCGGCCTGCCACATTTATGACGGATGTATCACAAATGAACTTATTTCTTCATTCAAATAGCTATTGTTTTAATTTTTGGCATTAACACACTTTTGATCAGGGGACTTTGGCAAGGTCCTCAATTGTTTGCTCTCCCACCAAACAAAGTGGCACATGATGGGCACATTTATATTTGCAATAATGATCTGTACATAAATATATAAACGCTATTCATCTACTTTGAGAATTGACCTTTATTAGACATGTGACGCGAATAGTTTTGAATAGTTTTTGTTTACATTATACTTTATGTTTATTTATTTACTATTACAATACAGTGTTGTATGATTTTGAGAAGATAAAGTACTATTCTGAGTCCATTTTGTACTTTATTGGGAGGTCGATGCATAGTCGATAAATAATAATTTCAGATAAAATTTTAAAAATTAATTTCGACCAATAAGAAAGCGTGTTTGTACGAAAATGTATGGTTTAGTGGAACAAACATTCCTTCAAGGCTTAAGTCTGGACATTTGAGTGGGCCATACCAATAAAAAATGCATAGGCTAAGCTTTCGATCAATACCAAATACGTCTAGGTAGCTTGTAATTATATTATAAAAGCAATGGGCACTTAAGGGTTTATTTTGCATGAATTTCGCCCACACCCCAAGTCAAAATTTTCTTACCATACTACTTTAAACATTTTTAACAACTTTAAATTACTTTTAATTCAAATGGTTCAAGCCAGCGAATTCGTTTTTGAATTTTATCTATTAAAATCCACAATAATCTTATTTTTGATAAAAAGAATATAAATAACGATACTTTCCCAATAATTTTTCCATGTACCCAGAACATATCTATGAATGAGTTTCGAAATATCTAAATCTTTCCATAGCACCCAAAAGTCTCGTTAAGCTTTTTGTTTTGCCCGAAAGTCTGGTAAAGCTTTTGATTTCAGCTACGGTTAAAGCTGCGTGTAAGTTTTAATTTTCGGTCTGGTTTCCATTTGGGTCTAAATAAGAAAATCACTTTTGGTCGGTCTCTAGAGGCAGTTTTGCTTTTCTTTCCTGTGCGCTTTCTTTGGGCGTGGTAGGTGCCTACTTTCTTAGGGAGTGGTGGTGGGTATACTCACTGAACAATGAGCTCATAGGTGAGCCAGCTTGTGCAATCCATAGCAAGCATTTCTTAGGAATTCAGGTTCATTTCCATTGATCTGAGGGACACTTTAAGACTACCTTTAAAGAGTTTTTTCTGCCCACCAGCATTCCCCTCTGGAAAGTTCACCAGATATTATTTTCTTTGGAAGAGTGTAGTGTAGATCAGAAGTCAAGTAACTATGGCCCAGAGACACCAAATCTGGCCAAAAGACCTCTTTTTAAGCTATGAATTGATTTTACATTTTCCCAGATTGCACTAGGTCACAATCATTTATAGTGGTCCTATAGATTTGCGTTCAGACACCACTGGACGACCCTCACTTTGATCCCAGGCAGTTTTAGTTAGGCATATACTCATTTTTAACTTGGTCCTCTATTTACACCCATCTCCTCTCCAACATATGAAATTATTATCTCACCCTCCCCCTGCTCTCACACTCTTTGACAGTGATGTTTAAATTATAGACCATTTAGCCCATTGACAAAAAAATAAAACGGACATCAAAAAATTTATTGAGGATTTTTCCAGATATCAACTTACAACTTACCAGGAGTGACAGAAATGGCTAATCCACTATCCATGTTCCCTGATACACTTGGATACAATCCAGGTGTTCCACTCAGTGACATGGATGATAAATGGGATGTTATACTGTTATACGCATCCTCTGTATTGTCATCTGTTGGACTCTCTCCATTTAGAATGCGCAATATCTGTATAAGACAGTGTGTTATTTTACAAAAATAATTTTAAGATAATATATAAATCTGATCTCAAAATTATATACAATTTTTTTTATGCCTTAATCTTCATCTCAATATTTATAGAGTAGGACAATTTCAATTCCCAAATCCCCCTTCCCATGAATTATTTCCCTTAACCCAACCCCATTAATTATTTCCCTTAACCCAACCCCATTAATTATTTCCCTTAGCCCTTCCCCATGAATTATTTCCCTTAGCCCATCCCCATGAATTTTTTCACTTCACCCCCATCCGCCACACCTAGTTCTTGTTATTTCCTCACCTGTTCATTGTCATCAGCATAGTCTGCAGGTTTCAGACCCCTCCTGTCAATCACAGACCCCTCCTCTCCTCTCACATCTGGGTCAGGTATTTCTTCATTCTCACACTCCATGTCAGCCCCGGCAGTCATCAACAGAGCCACCATTCCCACGAGCTGACGGGCGCATGCTATGTGAAGTGCTGTGTTTCCGTCAAAACAACGGGCATTGACATCTGTGTGGGCCTGGGTCAAATAAATAGATCAATAAAATTTCAGAATGTTGTCAACTACAGAGCAAGCCATCTGGACGCCAGGCTTCATCAATGATGTCAACAAGTCATTTGGTACATTTTTCATCTACAATGATCTATTTACTATAATCTCTCTAAAATTATCTATTTACAATGATCTATCTATTATGATCTCTCTACAGTGATCTCTCTACAATGATCTATCTACAATGATCTAACTACAAGGATCTATCTATAATGATCTATCTACAATGATCTCTCTACAGTGATCTATCTACAATGATCTATCTACAATGATCTATGTACAATGATCTAACTACAATGATCTATCTACAATGATCTATGTACAATGATCTATCTACTCAATTAAAAAAAATGAGACAAAGTCTTCACTATAGTTGTACACTGAAAACTTAAAATAAAAATATATTTTGTAAAATTTAGAAAATAATTTAAAACTTCTTAAAATTCATTACGCAAAGAAAGAATTAAAGAAAAGCACTCAATGTAGCCAAAGGAGTCGAATTGAATGCAGACAAAACTTAAATAAATGTTTTATTTTTATTAATTCTTTAAAATATTTTCAGCAGAATTTCTTTTTGTAATGGATTTTAAGAAATGCAAGATTATTTTCTACTTTTTTGTGCTCATAACCTCTTCTTTAAAGGAAAAACTTTTTTAAAAAGTAAATAATTTTTTTTTAAATTTTCCACTCTTTAGTATGAAAATATCAACCTCTAAATTATCGACAAAAGAAGATATTTTTGTTAAAACAAAGAATGCTAACAAAAAATTATAGTGACATAACTCGTTACCTAGGCATCAAACTAAAAAGTAGAATTTAATGACTACTGTGTTTTACACGTCTGGTCACTTGCCCATGATTATTAGAAGTTAAGGTGATGGGGTTGTTTTTTTTGTAAAAATTATCTTTTCTTTTTTCCCAATCACTCCCCGCCCCACCCCACCCCCTTGTAACTGAAGCTCTCAATCTTTGTCAGTGTTTTAAATGCGATCCTACAGGTCAGCACTAGCCAGGTGCCATCAACCATTGGGGAGAGAGTCACAAGTGACAACAATGTTTGAAACTACAAACTTGATGTATTTATGAGCAGAAAAAAGTAGATTTTAAAGGCTGCGGAGTTCTATAACCCTGGTGGCAAGCTGTCCGTTGTCCGTAGTCTAATTGCTGTATGACCTGTTCCTAACTCCTTCCGAGCCCAACACCTCCAAAAACCTATAGCTCTTATCTGAGCTCCCCTACCCACCCGTCTCCTGCCGTCCACCGACAGAAGAAGACATGATCAACCAGGATCAACTGAGAGAGGGTAGACAACAACAAAAATTATGCTACAAAGTTACAGACAAGCCCCATGGATTTGCAAGCAGAAAGAAAGTGATCAATAATATGAGCATCTAATATGTACAGTGATGTTACAGTGATGTTACATGCCATGTAAGGAAAATACCTAATCATAGTGTGGATGTAGTAGTGAAGTCCTTAGTTTCCAGCCTACTGAAGAAAATGTGATTGAATATAAGGAAAGACATCAGGCCATGGATCAGTTGCGCCAACCTGGTAGGGACGTTGGTTACCACAACAATCTGGGGAAGGGGGGGCACAGCCTCATAGCAAGCATCCCCTTTATAAGGGGTGAGGGGGACCACAGCAAGCATCCCTTTTTAAGTTTACCATCTGTAATCTCCCCCACCTTTGACCGGAGAAGAATACAGGAAACAAAAGATTTCTATGTATCGAAGGGACCTAACTCTAATTTGTTATGATGCTTCCTACAGATGATATCTTTTTCTATACAAGATCTATAGAGTAGATCAACACTGAGAAAGATATTGTACTGTAAATATTTTATAAAACACCACATAGTCCAAGTCTGTTGAGAGGAACATTTCTTACGTGTCTCCCAGTTTAATATTGCATTTCCATATTAACATGACAAGACTGAAGAGACAACTTTGTGTTCACACATTACATAGCAAGTGAGTTAACAACGCGTGTGGATCTGACCACAAAGATCATATGATCTGACAACAAAGATCACATGGATCTGATCACAAAGATTATATTCTATTAGAGTAATATTAGAACAAGTACAGTACTTGCACAGACTTATCAATGACCCTGACCTCTAGCAACAGGTATCCAGCCACAGGAAGATCATCACTGTCGACCGCATGATGCAGACCGGTCTTCCCACTCTTGCCGTCGGGAAGGTCAACTTGCGCCCGGCCAAACACCAACATTTTCAACATGTCTACACTTCCTGCCTGAGCAGCCAAGTGGACCGGTGAGTATCCTGGTAAATAAATAATAGCTAAATGGTCAGGATCCTTTTTTCTTAGAATTAAAGCTATTTAAGTCAAGAGTTATCTCATAACAGCTGTCAAACGCTCAAATAAATTTATTTTTATGTGATAATATTATCAGTTTGCCTCAATCAATGAGGGTAATTGTAAAGGATAAAAAATTATTTAAGAGACAATTTAAAACTTTTTTGTTAAAAATTTTTCGGAGGACCAGAGCGCATGCTAAAGTTGCATGGATACCAGCGCTATATAAATATCAAATCAATCAATCAATCTTATTTCTCATTAAAAAAACATTGCTAATATAAATTTTTTTTTAAATTTGTGAAATGTTGTATCTAAAGTGTAGGGAACAGTGTAAAATTTTAACCTGTTAATTCAATTTCCTTGTTTAATAAAATACTGTACTACACACTTATTTAGGTCGTTAATGAAGTATTTTATCGCCAGGGCAGGAGTAATTATATAATTAAGAGAAAAATAAATCATTTGTGCTCATAAATACTTGAACTATGCTGATATACTGGGCACAAATGTTTTGGATTCCTAACATACCATCATAGTTCAAGTAATTATGCGTTCCTAACATACCATCATAGTTCAAGTAATTATGCGTTCCTAACATACCATCATAGTTCAAGTAATTATGCGTTCCTAACATACCATCATAGTTCAAGTAATTATGCGTTCCTAACGTACCAATCACAGTTCAAGTAATTATGCGTTCCTAACATACCATCATAGTTCAAGTGATTATGCGTTCCTAATATACCATCATAGTTCAAGTAATTATGCGTTCCTAACATACCATCATAGTTCAAGTGATTACGCTTTCCTAACATACCATCATAGTTCAAGTAATTCAGTTCTGGGAAAGGTGCAGTCTTGCTTTGCCCAGGCCTCAAGTATTTAACCAGAATTTTCAGACAGGTCTCAGATTTGTTTATGACGGCCAGGTGAGCAGCCGTGTTGCCGTTGCGGTCGGCGATGGTCGGGTCGGCTCCTGCATGAAGTAGCATCTCCACCATCTGGTACTGGTGCATGACTGTGGCTAGGTGAAGGGGTGTCTGTGTACGAACGGGTCAAGGTTTTATTAAACTGGCTAAGTCACGTCAGTATTAAGGTTAACTTTTTAATTTAGATTTTTAAATAAGCTGCCTCCTTTAAAAAAAGGAAGAAAAAAAGAATGCTTAACATTTATCTCCCCTTTTGTGGACACTTCATGTTTGAAGTAATTTCCCTTACACATGAAATGTGTTGTGGATTTTTATAAAAATACTCAGATAAAAATCTTGTCAATTGACTTGAATCTAAAATTAATCTATTTATGTAATAATTACACATGCACAATAACTGTGGTATATCCTTAAAATCAAAATTTAGATTAAAATTATTATTTTTTTAATTCATTAATAAACTCAATTTTTGTGTTTCAGCAGGAATTCACATGGGGAAATAAATCTGGCAAGCAACCACTAATACTCTCTTACATTGTACTTGAAATGAGGATTGTTTCATCTCTTTTACCATACATTTTTAAATTTCTTATATTCAAGGAAGTTGAGCTTTGGCAGGAAACTCAATTTCATCAATCATTTTGACTATTTGAAACTATGAATTTTATCTAATTAATATTTGAAATACAAAAAATATCAAAAGAGTTTATTGAATGATATTTGATATTATGCACCACAAGTTGTTAGATTACATGAACCAAGACAACTAGAAATCGGTGGTACTTGCAAATGTTCGAGGGACAAAAATCAGATCATTCTCCTGGTAAAGATAAATAATAACGGTAGGACTTCAAAAATAATTGTTTTTCATATTTGTTGTTAGAGTTAGTATTAAAATTTAGTTTACGTTAGGTTTACGCTGTTTGATCTCTTACCTGTCTCAACAAGTTGAATGAGTTGACAAGACGTTTAGACTCTGGAAGGGTACACATCACATCCAAAAGACTCTTCAAGGCCCCAGGTTGGGAGTTGATGACAGCCAGGTGGAGTGGACTATAGGGTTACATAAGTGAATAAAACTATAGCAAGGTTGAGTGTAGGAATTTATGACCCATACAAACTCAGTTAATTATAGATTCCCCTTCATCATTATGTCTGATAGTAGAAACTAATGAGTGAATTCGAGGTTAGCGATGCGTAACTACTTCAAGTGTTACTAATTAAAAATTTTAGGACATCAAAATGATATTTTCTTCAACTTGACTTTTTTCTGTCTATCACTAAGCACATTTTTATTTCCTCTTATTCAACATGTTAAATAAACTCAATATTATAGTTTTTTAATGTGCTTATATTGGCACAGCCTAACTGGCATTTTCTCACTGAAATTTGTACTTAACCATTGGAGGTCTATGCACTGAGAGCACTTTGATATTTAGCCATTGGAGGTCTATGTACTGAGAACACTAGGATATTTAGCCATTGGAGGTCTATGTACTGAGAACACTAGGATATTTAGCCATTGGAGGTCTATGTACTGAGAACACTAGGATATTTAGCCATTGGAGGTCTATGTACTGAGAACACTAGGATATTTAGCCATTGGAGGTCTATGTACTGAGAACACTAGGATATTTAGCCATTGGAGGTCTATGTACTGAGAACACTAGGATATTTAGCCATTGGAGGTCTATGTACTGAGTACACTAGGAAATTTAGCCATTGGAGGTCTATGTACTGAGAACACTAGGATATTTAGCCATTGGAGGTCTATGTACTGAGTACACTATGATTTTCTTATTTCTTTCAGTGTAACTCACAGGTCACCATTTTTGTTGCTAACTGCCAACAGGTGGCGCTGCACCAACAGCAGATGCCTTATGTCTCCTGTCTCAGAGAAATCTGTTAGGGCTGCCACAGTTCTTTCTGCCACGCGACTCGTCACTTTCCTCACAGTTTCTGTAAGTTGTGTGCAGTGGGAAGGGGAGAGCTCTGTTATGAAATGATGAAATTATGTGAATAAACCAGGCTGAACTGTCATAAAAAATGTTTCAATAAGTATGTCTAAAGAGGAGAGGAACTGTAAAAAAAACCTTGTGTTATTTGAAAAGAAAAGTGTAAATGTCAATCAAAATATGTTTACCTGTTATTTGATTAATTTGCAGTGGTGTTTCAGGGTTTCTCTTGACCTGGGATTTCTGCAAACTTTTGACCACCATTTCTTCTGACGACTCGGAAAACCCCTCATCGCTCCGTACCCCTTCGGAACGTATGTCCACTTTGGCGTCAGATTCCGAGTGGTCATCTGACAGTGACGACATCTTACTTGTTTTAAGTCCATCCTTACCCTCTTGGTCCAACAACGAGAAGTCTCCTTGAGTTTTCGTGGTGTCCTTCAGAACCAAGGTCACCCGTTTCTCCTCTAGGGATTTTTTATCATCCATCGACACAAATGATTTTCCGGTGCCTGGGTCTACACCCGAGTCTAACCAATCCAGTGAAACCTCTTTCGTTTTGTCTTGCTGGTTTCCTGGCATTCTAATATCTTTGGCTGTGTATTTGGAAAAGAAGGTTTTGGTTGGCGATGGATGAGGTGGACGCTGGGATTTATTCAAACTCTGCTGTAATGACGGCATCTAACAAAATATGACAGAATTAGTTACTAACTTAGGCGTGCACAGGTTGAAATTTGAAAATGAAATGACATACCTAACATAGCAGCTAGCCTCTTAAAAATGTACGAATAACTGATTAGAAGAAAGTGTACACATTCATCTGATGCCTATACGGTTACGATCAACGAGACAGAATTTGCCTTGTTTACCAGTGTCGAGTTATGGTTAGTTCAACCCGTAGTTATGGTTAGTTCCACCCGTAGTTATGGTTAGTGCCACCCGCAGTTATGGTTAGTGCCACCCGGGGCGGGCCAAGCATTTTGCTGCCTCCTTCCCACCAAAAAAACCTTCTGCATTTGGCCGAGAAGATCGCCCCCTATGCACCTGCTTTCCTATGCCAGTGTCTTTAACCTACCGAGTGCCAATATACAGGTTTCAGAAACAGACATGTTTGGACTGAATTCCGATATGTCAGCTTATTATCATTATTAAGATTTAATTTTTTATTAGAATTTAATACAAATCAAATTCCAGGGAGACAAAATAAAGAGACAGGCAATACATTTTTAATTGCTATCCAAATCAAAGATATCTCATTAATAGTTTTGAAGACATTTATTGCTTTCTGTCTGCATAATTTAATTTATTTTCTCAGCCACTAGAAATTAAGTCTGTCTGATAAAGAATCTCATTTTTCCTTAAAGTTTATAATAAAATAAAGTTTTTTAAATGTGTGACACAGAGAAATGACAGATTAATGTTACCTAGTAAGACATAACAAATAGAAATGACAGAGTAATATGTGACCTAGTGGGACATAACACAGAAATGACAGATTAATATGTGACCTAGTAAGACCTACATTATTTTTGTTTCCACTGTCATGGCTGGCCTCAAATTTAGGTGAGGTAGGCATAATGGCTGCATCCACCTCAATGTCAAGGTCATCTGTAAGTAGCCAGGGGTCAGTATTGCTGGACATGGGACTAGAGTTGTCTCTTCGCTGATCCAGTGCTGCCTGTAAACGCTGACTGTCCAGTACACGATGGCTCAGCTCAAACTCCTCCCTGACAGCTGGGAAAGTATTGATAGGAAAGTGATGGTTCATTGGATCACCTTGTACAATAATAGGAATGTGATTGTTCATTGGATCACCTTGTACAATAATAGGAATGTGATTGTTCATTAGATCACCTTGTACAATAATAGGAATGTGATTGTTCATTGGATCACCTTGTACAATAATAGGAATGTGATTGTTCATTAGATCACCTTGTACAATAATAGGAATGTGATTGTTCATTGGATCACCTTGTACAATAATAGGAATGTGATTGTTCATTAGATCACCTTGTACAATAATAGGAATGTGATTGTTCATGAGATCACCTTGTACAATAATAGGAATGTGATTGTTCATTAGATCACCTTGTACAATAATAGGAATGTGATTGTTCATTAGATCACCTTGTACAATAATAGGAATGTGATGTTTCATGAGATCACCTTGTACAATAATAGGAATGTGATGTTTCATGAGATCACCTTGTACAATAATAGGAATGTGATGTTTCATGAGATCACCTTGTACAATAATAGGAATGTGATGTTTCATGAGATCACCTTGTACAATAATAGGAATGTGATTGTTCATGAGATCACCTTGTACAATAATAGGAATGTGATGTTTCATGAGATCACCTTGTACAATAATAGGAATGTGATGTTTCATGAGATCACCTTGTACAATAATAGGAATGTGATGTTTCATGAGATAAGCTTTTACAATGACAGAGCAACCAATAACCAATATATAGTGGGAAATGCCTAGGTCACTGATTCTCAGCCTGTGGATCACAACCAAAAACCTATGTTTTAAATTTTTTATTTTGTGTATGTCAATACATGTTTTTCAACAAAAATGTGCAAATCACCAAGCTGTCCTTCCCACAATTTGCCACTGTATTCATATAGAGAATAAAATGCAAATACACCCAGTCCAAGAAAAATTCCAGTAAACATCCTAAGTTATTCATCCAATCAATCAAACATAAATTTTTCATATCCAGCCATTTTTCCAAAAAGAAAAATTTGTTGTAGGCCTTATAATAATCGAAGCAATTTTTACTGTGACAAATTATCTAACCTTTAAATTTGACTAAAGACAAACTTTCTTCCCTCAACATTTCTTAATGAACTTTTCTAGTATGCAACAATAACTCACAATGATGATGGATAAATGCTATTTAAGGAAATCTTAAATAGTCAATAAAATAATCTTTTCGTTTTCAGTTTATATTAACTTAATGAGTAAATAGAGCCAAAGAAAGGATAGTTACATGAGTGTAGTTATCAAATGTGTCTTACCTTCCTCCACCATGGTTGGGAGCTGAATGAACTCTGTGCCCTCGAGCTGACCTGGTTTATTTAAAGATCTTTCAATACAATCAGTTTTTCATCAAATTAAATAAAATCTCTGTTTTTAAAAACTATCATTTTAATAGCAGCATTGGGCCTTTGGGCATGAAAACCAACTATTGTAAACATGGTCAACATAACAAAAATTGAGCAACTGTTTTTGTAACTTTTATGCCGAGAATCCTATCAAACATTAGTTGGACGTTATTAGAGAGACAAATGTTAGAGGGACAAAATTAAACCTAATAATCATCTTGTGCATTGGAGTAGTCAGTCATCTTCTAAGAGTATTTAAATTAGAAATTTGAGAAATGTGTAAATGACGCTATGGTCGACTCACCATTATGTAGGAGAGTCATGAAGTTGTGTCCATTGCTGCTGCCACCTGCCATATGATTCATGCCCACACCGCCGTTACCCCCTTGGTGACCCATGCTGACGCCTCCATTGGCACCCGAATGACCCATCCCCAGGCCTCCGTCGCCGCCCATGTCCCCACCCCCCATTCCTCCATCACCGCTGGTGTCGTAGCCGTCCAAGGGAATACGCTTTCTTTTCTTGCTGGCAATGTTGTCTTTGTCTGTCAGGAGAAACAAAGTATATTTTTATAAATGCAACGACAGCAATGTTTTTGAAGTTAGTTGAATGGACACAGAGCTAAAGTGAAATGTTGAAGATTTACTAGAGACAAACAAATGCAACAGCCGTCTCAGCCAAAGTTTGCCGTTTAATGCCTTATTGGGAAGACAGAACTCAATGATATCACAGTAATAACAGGATAAAATGAAAAGTAATGTAACTCCATACATGAGTTAGAAATTTTTTAAAATAAAGCATAAGGCCACTACATAATAAAGAAAATTAATTTTCAGACAGAAAAGAAAGCATTACATATTCATTTTAATATTTATTTTAGCATTTTCACAATCCAACTCTCCTCCTTCTGAGTTTGAAATAATATTTTTTCTATAATCTCTAAAACACAATGTCCAACAGAAAAATATAAATCTTCAGAGATGTTTTGAATGTTTTAGAAAGCTCAGAAATCAAGACCCAGTGATTTCAAAGCTGACTCTAATTGTACCTCGGTTTTGTGGGAAGTAGGTAAAAGCCTTTGGTTCACTGACTTCCTGGTCTGATTTCCGTTGTAGCATGATGAGAACATTGACAGCCTTGTCTATGTTTGTGTTCCAGTAGGCTGGTGTTTTAAAAACTATGGCATACTGAAGGAAAAAAAATGTTTTTTTAAATAGAGTTCATAGAGCTTTCCATTAAACTACATGTTAGCCAGCTGTCTGGTAGATCCTAATTTCTTGGTAACCAACCTATCTTAATAACCCCTGTCTAAATTACCCCTGTCTAAATTACCGCTGTCTATGCAAGACATCTGTAATTAATTTATTGCTGTCAATCATCTCTCTATGTAGCTCATTACATTGTCATGTAATCCATGTCTGTTTTACCTACCAGTCTAATCACTCCCCCTATCTGTGACATCCACTTGCCTAAGCAGCCCATCTATCTACTCACTCCCCCATCCATATCCACTTGCCTATGTAGCCCCTGACACTCACCTGCCTATGTACATCAAGAGGACCAAAGTTTCCATAAGCCTCCCACTTGACACTGCCATCAGGATTCTGTTCCACAAATCTCACTTGAATGTCATCTGAGACAAAACATAATATACTTACAAGAGTGTACTCTTTATGTTTGTGTGTTAATTAATATGTGTATATTTCAAGGACTGTACCTTTTCACTTACTGCGCTGTAAGTTGATAAAGTTTTTATTTTCTGTGTATTTGAATCTGTGTATTTTTATATAAATATAATAGTATAATAACACTGATTATTCTTAGTATACTAGCTTTGGTATCATTTTTCTTTAAATACTGGTTTTTCAGTTCTTTGTTATGTATAGTTCATTTAACGAGCCAAATCTTACAAATTAAAAAGATTAAATTTACAAAACAATATAAAGGTTTGTAACAGATGCAAACAACCTTTTAACACCAAAGATACAAATTACTCCCCTAAAATACCAGAGCCACAGGTTACCATCTCACAACACAGAAGCCATGGAAAGAATTTTAAAAAAGCAGAGGTTTTCAAATAACTAACTAATCTTCTGGAGGTGTTTTGAGCTTAAGCTCTTAAAAGCCCCAGTGCAGTTGAAACCAGCTCCATCTGTTGGGCAGTGAGACATAAAATCTTCTGAAGGACAGACTCTCCCGCCGCCCGGGCATCCCCAAAGTCAAGCTCGGGACACAAAGTCAGCAGGTGCGCTACTGTTTCTCGGATCAGATTGCAATGCCGGCAGGTCGAGCCCCTGTTTTTGTCTAGCTTGTTTAAGTAGAGTTAGAAAGGCAATGTTCCGTCCCCATTAGGGTCACCAGAATCAGGTTCTGCGACCCAGTTTCCACCAAGGGGTCGTTCCGATAGGTTGTGGCATATTGGCGTACACAACTCTGGCCTTTGTGCTGTCTGCCCACAGTCCATACCACTTTGTTCTAAAGTGATCTGCCAGCCAGTTCTTCACTCCAAGACAAATTACTGGTGTTTCTGGCTGTGACTGGACACCTCTGGTTTTTACCAGTGTGTCCGCTCTTTTGTTGCCCTTCATGCTTACGTCATTTGGAACCCATTGCACCCTCACCTCACCTCAGATTTCTTTCAATCTAATCCATGTCATCCATGATGGCGTCAATCCAGTGGGCATTACATGCTTCCTTATTCAAGATCTTAAGAGCCGATCTTGAATCTGAGAAATGACCACCTCCAGTCCCACAAGTTCAACTAATACTGGTTCTTGTACTGGTTAGTTCTTATTTCTTGTTCCTCCAGCAGACTACTAACACTATTATAGTAAAAAATTCCTTAATACAACTTCAAAAAATTTGCCGCTAGCATTTTGTAAAATTCCATCTAATTTTGTAAACAAAAAAAGTTAATCACCTTTCTGCACTTTCTCACACAGTAAAAAAACCTCTTCATTGCCTGAACAACAGCCACCATATTTATCCATGCGACATATCTTTAGCGCCGACGCCCCAGGAGACTCTGTTTTCACAGTAAATCATAATAAATGTCAATAAAACTCTAATAAAATAAACAAATGCAGTAAGGACTTCACTTATTCCAGGTTATAACCCTTAGCAGGCATTAATAAATATTTTATTAGTAATAGTAAACTGTCAAATAAATTATTTTGAAAGAAACTAGATTTATTAAAGATGCAATTGTTTTCCCAAACATTTTTTGTTTTACTGCACATGAAATGTTGAACAGAGTTTTAGGTACGATAAAATTAAAGAGTATACATAAAATTTCAATGCAAAAAGGGTAAAACACTTGAAGCTAAAAACCTACTGCTGTCATAGATGGCTTGGGACACCACAGGGGTTAACATTTTACTGAAAGATCCGTCGGGGTTGCGGAGGAAAACTTGGAAACACAGTCGCACGACATTCAGCTGCATAGTTTTGGACTGTTCCTCTGCCTGCATTCTTGCTGTCTTCGTATCTTCTTCTGATAAAACGGAAAAAAAAAGTGTTCAATTTTCTTGTAAATTTATTTAATTTCCCAGGGAATCTGCAGAACACAGTTGTTAAATATAATCATCCACTGGAGCCATTCCATTGTCTATCTGTTGCCATTCCATTGTCTATCTTTTCTTCTTTCAAACAATTTTATTTAGACTATTTCTTTTAACTTTCCCACTTCCATGAATAATGTTAAATTTAAGTAGCTCCTGTGAGTATTCTCAAGATAAACAACAACAAAAAACAAAAAAAATGTAGTTCCATGGCTGCCATTTCTAGTGACAAACCCATGTTGTTTCATAGCTTCCAAATCTAGAAGAAAAAAATGTGTTGTTCCATATCTGCCATTTCTAGTAACAAACCTGTAATAGGTGGTTCAAAGTTCATGTTGTTTGCTTTCAATTTCTTATTCAGCTTTATTGAATCTGTGTTTCTTTCTGTGAGAACATCCACAAGTTTTCTTCTGGTCACATGCAAGATACAAAGGTTTGGGAAGCTGGAAATTCAAAAGGAAAAAAAAAAATTAAAATCAAAAGCTAATTTTGGATCTTCGCCTTCTCCTATGACCTATAACAAGACTTGCAATTAAAATTGAGAACTGACCTAATTATTTTAATTGTTTGTAATTGAACTTTTTACTGCAAGATGATTTTATAGTAATGTTATGAGACCATTTGAAAGGTAACTGGAAATGGCCCCCAAAAAGATGCATTTTTTTAGTGAATCCTATTGAGGATTTTATAAAATTGAAACCAACTATATGTAAATCACTCAGACTCAGATACAGAGAAATAAATGTTATAAATCAAATATTAATTGAAAAAAAAACTCAACAGATAAAATTTTCAATCATGCCTACCTAATAACATCAAGATTGGATTTCAGTTCAACAGTACAGAGTCCATTCTTGCAGTTAGTGCCCACTAGTTTGTGTGCATGAGAGCGAGGTGTCTTTTCATCTGTGACCAAACTTACAACAACCCGAGCTGCTCCTGTATAATTCTCAATCTAAAGTTTTAAAAAAATTGAGCAACCATTGACAAAGATACAATTCGGGTCAAACATTTTTTACAAAAGGAATTTTCCTAGATTAGGAAGTTGTAATTGTGATCATCAAGTCTGACACAAATACTCATTATAATGTGTGTAGAGGCAAGCACATAAACACATATTTTATATAAAGACAGACCCCGACACTCTCATCTAAATACTTACTTTGATAGATGGATAAGATTTTCGACTCCTCTCACTCTTCGTCCCCTGTAGGCCTCCATGACTTGGCCCCTCACATTCATAGCGAAAGCGGAATCCCCTTTGTTGAGGCTGCTCCACAATACCAACATACGGTTCAGCTGCTTGAACTGAACCTAGTAATAACAAACCATTCAAATAAAAAAATTAATGAAGAGGAGAGACTGCAATCAGGTTAACAAAATTAGACAAGTAAAAAAGCAAATAAATCATTTTGTATGATTAAATTGTTGCAGAATTTCAAACAAATTTAAAGTTTGTATGAGTAAATGACGTACCGTTTGTGTAACTACTTCCAACAACATTTTTTATTGGACCATTGGAAGGAGGGATTGTTGAGACGTAGGCTGGGTTAATAAGATTTTGAGACTGCAGAGCTACTGGCAAGTTGCTTTCATTTAAAACATCTGAGTCATTAGAGGAGCTGCCATAGGAGCTCATGGTGACCTGTAAAATTGGAAGGCTTTGTAATATTGCAAACTCATTCAGCTAGGTAGAAGAATATTTAAGGATGCATTTCAATTTTCTTCCCATTTCTTAATTTCATGTAAACTGTTTAAATTATTTGTATTGATATTCACATCTAGAACATTGGTATTTTACAGATTTGTCTAGGTGTTGATATAGACAAAAGTTGTCCTTAGAATTTAAAATGTTTATATTTCAACAGACATAAGCTTTTGGCAAATGAATTGAATTTAGGGCATATTATTGAGAGCTTTTATACAGATTGGGCTGTCTTAGTTCACTGTTTTAGGTAAACACATATTATGATAAGTAGGTACAAAAAAAATTAAAATTTAGATGGTAAAATAATTTTCCTTTTTTTGCTTAAAGGATAGGCTTGCATATGAATCAAATCTTAACATGTGAAATTGTTATCTTCATACTTATTTCAAATTAGAAACATATTTGAGGTTCAATCATTTTAATTTTGTTTAATGTCACTGATTTTTATAGTTTTAATAATTTTTGTAACATGCAAACTTCATTTTTTCCAAAACCAAGAAAATATTGTTTAACTACAAATGATGAGATTCGTTATCATATTTAAAATTGCATGGACATTGAAATACTATCATTTTTACCTATAGAGGAAAGTACAGATCATAGATTATTTTTAAGGACCCTTGTTTTGCTAACCTTTTGTCTTCTTCACAAACTCAGTTTTTCTTTTCCATTAAAATTAATGTTCTTTTCTTTTCATTAGACATCCGATCCCTTGAAGTGGAAATTAATTCTGGTGACAACAAAAAGAATATGCAATATTGATTTTTTTTCCTTAATTATACAAAAAATTTTCTTACACCAATTACATAGTGGTGAGATATGGAAATTAGTAGTATCACTCCATTAATTTACAGCGCCAATCATGGACCTAATTATTTGCATTTGTTAGTACCTCAATAATTTGACATGGCTTTAACATAAAATAATACTAGTATAGCCTATACCAGGCCTGCAAAACATACGGCCCGAGGGCCAGGGCCGCATGCGACACGCTAGCACCCACTTTGCGGCCCACAAAGTCATGAAATATTCCTTTTTATGATTATTTTCTTAATACCTTTCCCGCTGTCAAATTTTCTTTCTGCCCGCACAAGTTTTTCATAAAGTATTATGGCCCGCCTTATATTTTGAGTTGTGCAGGCCTGGCCTATACTATAGGCCCTATGAAAACTTACAAATCTGATAGTCACTGTAATATTTAGTTTTTTTAATAAGGAATAATCATAAAGTTGGACAGTGCCACTTTAAATGTAATTTTACATTTGGAGGGTTTGAAAAAAAAAAAAAATTAAGTGCAATGGAAGATTTTAGATAGGCTACAGCCTACTTAATCTTTAAATAAACAACCATTAATAACAAAGATTTTTTAAATAAATCCTTTATACAATGTAATATCAAGCAATGGGGGCTGGGCCTGAAAATTTGACAAAACATGCATACAAGCCAATTAGTTCCACATCCCAGCCGACAACTGCACATTTTTTTCACGCCCCATAATATTCTAATAAACCACCCTCTTTTACACTGCAGATTTATTTCAACAACTATTTCAGAAAAACAAAAGAAAATATTACCCACCAAAGGCACTTACGACATTTTTTTTTTAAATTCTCTTTTTAGCGCAGTTAATTGGAATTTATTTCCTTCATCTTCCCCTTGAAAAGGGTGATTTTTGGGTGTTAGTGTGGGTATGAAAATTTGATAGAATGTGTTGACATTGGCAACAAGTCTATGTGCCAAGTTTCAGCTCGAAAGGTTGAAGGGAAGTGGATCAATTAGCCGTCCAAAGATTTTGCAAGTCCGCCACCCAGCCAGGCACGAACAAAAGCGAAGTTAATATAAAAGATTTAAAAATAGGAAGTCTCTAAACTAACTGAACTAACCCTTATTTGGTAAGAACTAAGAGCAAACCTAGGACTAGGGTCATAAGAACTACTAACTCTAAGACTGAGCAAGAGTCTAAGTCAGTTTTGACTATACCCTACCCATTGGCCATTCCTGATCAAGTCTAAATTCCCTAGGCCTAGGATAAGTTTCTAATCAAACTTCTAAGTCTAAGACTACACTAAGTCAAGTGAATAAGTCTAAGCCAGTAACTGAAACTGTAAAAACTGTAACTAAGCAGGGACTGGTGATATTATTGATATCCTAACTTTAATAACTAAATTAATATACTATACTGAAGTATACTGATTTAATTATTAACTATGACTAAGACGTCTTGCTCTAAACTAAGTTCTAAGTGTCAGAGACTAAATATTAAGTAAACTAGAGGTAATAAAGTACTTCACTGAGTGAGAAGAATAAGTCACAAGCAATACATAAACTTTATGTATTGTGAAAAAGGTACATAAATATTAAATAAGAGACTTGACTTGAGTCTAGTAAGAATGTTCAGACTCAGACAACTAAGTCTAAGTACTAACTAAGCGAGTCTGAATTCAGACTGAACTGAGAGGAAATAATGGTTGATTAGTAGTAGTAATTAGTTGTCGTCGTAGGCAGGTAGACTCTAAGATAGATAAAATAATAATAAAAAATATGAATATGAATAGTGAGTCTAGTGACTAGTGTTACCTTGTCTTGTATTATGTTGCTTAAGACCGTCTAAATATTGTTAACCCAGGTGGGTATTAATCAAATTTTAATTTCTTTATTTTTAAATAAGAAAATAAGGTAGGAAGATAAAAATGATGTCCAGCATCAACAGCAAATGTCAGGGAAACTAATTCAGGATTTAATGTTTAGGGTATTTCCCTTGCAGTGGCTGACTGATATTTGTATTGGTTGAAAAATATCACATGACCCAGTTCTCATTTTGTAATTGGTTGAGCTAAGCTATTAATAGCATGATGCTTTAAATAGGACTATGGAAGATAATCACTGAATGGAGCATAACTCTTAATATTTTTATGATCATGTCATGCTTTAAAATGTCAAAATTCTAATTCTAAAACCAGAAATATCCACACATTTACCCCTCACGTTAAATTTCCTTCTTTCCTTCCTGCTTATACAGGGTGGGCCAATAAAAGTGAGAACATTTCGTAGCGTAATATTTTACGAGATGTTCTCACTTTTTTGGCCCATCCTGTACATGTATAAAGTTCAAGCTAGAAATATTGTCACATTAGGAATCACTTAACACTTTAAAAAAAAATCATACATATAAAGTATAATTATAATAAAGCTCTAATTGACAGCCATGTTTAACTTCCTGTTGTGCAGGATGGATTCTGATAGATGATGTCTCTTAGTAGTGTCTAATTTTAAAAGAACAATGTGTTATATATGAAATTTTATTTAGCTGTAAATTTGTTATTATTTTAGTTCGACAGTGTGACGTATTTTCGGGAAAAAGGGTGGGGGGGGGGGGGTGTGACAGATTGTGGCTGGGTAGGGGGGGTAAATTTTCAAAAATTTATGGACGGCCCCTCATTTGTTGAGCAGCATAATTGACCCATAAGAAAGGCTTATGTGTTGAGCCTTCTCGTCCATGAGGGGCAACCACCGATCATCGTCGGCGTCTGCGGTTCCTCCAAGGGCATAGGCCACCTACGAGAGACCTCCAGGCATCTCTATCCTGGGCCAGCTTCTCCAGGATCTTCCATTCATGGCCAATTTTCTTGATGTCTGTCTCCAATTCTCGGCGCCAAGTGTTTCTTGGACGGCCTCTTTTCCGCTTACCCTGTGGGTTCCATTTCAGGGCTTGCTTTGTT